GTCTGTGGACCTCAACAGCGACGTCTTGGAACGACCTGACGTGGTGGAGCAGGGTCATGTGGTGGATGCTGCAGAGTCCCTTCGAGTCTCACTCTCAACACCATGCTCTAGTGTAGTCGTTCGTGCATTATGCCGTCCGCGTAACACGTCGTAGCCGCTACCTCGCACGCACACCCCCTTCGTAAATCTCCTCCGTCTCCTGCCGCAAATGTACCTGCCCTCCCTCCCTCGCTCGTACTATCCCCTCCTTCCCTCGTCCGTACCATCCCCTCCTTCCTTCACCCGTACTGCGCACATGACACCGCGTCGTCACTCTAAACCGTCTCCAGCCACCCTTCCCGTGATCGCCACCATGACCGTCCGCAGATGGTCTTCACCCCGCCCGGAATACCGGCTCACTCGCATCCCACGCTCACCGTCGCCCCGTGCTCCTAGCCACTCGCACCCCACCGCTCGTCATTGGGTCCCCGCAAGATGGAACCGCCGCAGCAGCTCCGCGTCCCAACGCTCCTTTCTTCGGTCCACCTCAAGTTGATACCGTAGCTCAGTCACTCTCCGAGATGAGCGCGAGGATCATGCTAAGACGTCAGTGCCACATTCATCTCAATACGGATCAAGCGGGCTGATCCAACGACGGCGCTGGCACTGAACGCACCGGTAGAGGTAGTAGAAGAACGAGACGAGGTAGAAACCGAGCTTGATGAAGCTCTCCTTCTTGTGTCCCGACAAAGTCCGGAAGATCTCCGTGGCGTCGTACATGTGGTTCTTGGACATGATCCTGGCTAACGTCAGCGAACGAGCTTGGATAAAACTGGTACCTCGAAGCAAATGCCCAGGTAGAGCCGAGGTAGAGTTCTCCCAGGCGCGCTCACTTGTTCACGTTGTATCCCACGAGAGGCGCGTTGAGGAGGAAAGCCAGCCATTGTCCGGAGAGAAGGAAGCAGAGGGTGAGGAAGGCGTGGGCGATCATCTCGGGGAGGACGAACTGCAGAGGCGGCGTCAGCTTCGGCCCAACGGATGCCCCGGCCTACGAAGGGCCGGTGCACAGTTAAGAGGCCTAAACTCGACTCACTTGGTTGAGCTTGTTGCAGAGGTCGATGGGGTTGATGTAGTCTGTGCGTCGGGTCAGCCTTCCCGCTTCGAAGAAGCAGGTGGTGTGCGCTCGGACCCACCGCATTCGAGGTCGGAGAACATGATGATCTAAGTGGGTGGATCAGCGGATGCCGACACGGACAACTCGGAGACATGATAGCAGAGAGTAGCCAATAGGAAGCGGAAGCTTCTGCAGCTTCACACTGCAAGGTGCTCATCTGCGAGCTCGCGCTGATATGCCACTCACGAAGAAGACCATGGTGAAGAGGAGGACCGCGGCCATGAGGACCGCGAAGAGGAAGAGCCATCCTGCGGGTGCAATGCGAGCGCGGGGGTAGCGAAAAGGGTGTCAGAGGATACCAGAGACGTGACAGCGGTGGTTGAGGACGGAGACGTAAGGGAGAAGGGTGGATGATTAGCGTGTGAGGGGAGTGGGAATCAGGAAGGGAGGAGTCGAGGTTAGCCCGGTTTGATTGCTCGACAATCCGACGACGACGCACCTTCTCCGCCCATCTTGACCAGTTGAGTACGCTTGAGCAGCTGCTGTGGGAGGAAGGACTGGGGATGGCTGGAGCAGCTCGAAGCTTTGAACGATTACGTGTCAGAAGAGGAAGAAGGAAAGAGAAAGAAGAGGAGGAGGATGAGGAGTTGGTTGGTGACGACGAGCAAGGGACAGGTGGCGCCGGAGGGGGGGCGGGAGCAAATTGGTTGGACAATTACGTAAGACATGGGTTTGTGGCGGCCGTGTCTCGTACTCCGCCCACATGGTCCACATCATCGCCCCCGCTCTCTCACGAGCCTTTTGCGTGCAATCCCTCAAGACGTGCAGCAGGTAGTAGTGATCCATGACGGTCCACCGGCACCTACACGTCTGGACAGGTCCAAAACGAAGTCATAATGCGTCTCGGGAGCGCCGAGGACATTCGAAGTCTCGGCTCACGTTGCCTTCCGTCCTCTGGCAGGGCTCGATTACGCCCCCGTGCCTGAGGAATGTCTTGGACAGCAGAGCGGGAAGCTTTGGCAGTCTATGAAAATAGCAGAACCCCTTGGCTACCCTAGGTCGCGGGAAGCTCAGCCAGAGTCGTCTGCCGATCGACGCTGCAATCGCCTCGCTGAGATGCAAGTCGAGACGAGCAGAGCTGAGAGCAGCAACAGCAACGGTGGAGACTTGGGCTGAAATGAACCGGACTCTATCTGACTTTGTTGCTCCATGTCACTCTCGATCCGTTGAACCATTTTCCCCCCGCCATGCTGAGCCTTCCACAGTCTCCCAACCTGTCCCAATCCTCCAAGAGCAGCCGCCGATGGCTCCTCCCCCTCATCGGCGTCGGCTTGTTCGTCGCCGTCACGCCGCTCCTCTTACTCTCCACGACGACCCTGCCGACCATCGTATGGGACAAGGAGTCGATCTCGGTGACGTGCGAGGTCGAGCAGGCGGCCAAGCCGGTTTCGACTGGAGGTGCTCAACACGATGCGAGCGTGACGGGGCAGCATCGAGGGACTTGGGAAGCCTTCGCCGCGACGATGCCGAGCCTTCGAAAGGTTCAGACGGCTGAATTGCCAGAGGAGGAACTGGAGGACGACACGAATTGGTATCTGGACAGGATCAAGGCGGGGAGAGAGGAGTTTGACTGGCCGAGGATCAAGCACCTGTTTGTGTTGTGAGTGCGACCGGTCCTCGGTACTCGGTGCGAGCGGGGCTCTCCAAGCGCTTCTCCAAGCGCCAGGGCTGACCCCACTCAGCGGAGATTCCATGTGTGAGTGGTACATGACTCGATGCCCCAATGTCTGACAACCCGGTCGCGATCAGCTGAGCACTCGTGAGTCACCCAGCCCACTACGTGTCCAGCGCGCTGACAACCCAGGGATGCGTACCACCGGTGGAACGAGAACCCGGTGAGCACCTCGGATCATCGAACCGATCCGCACCGGACCGTGTGCATCTGCTGAGGCCGTTCAGTCAAGCCTCGGTCTATGGCCCCATCTCAAGTGGTGTGACTTCCTCCACATGTGAGCGGCTCGATCGGTCCTCTCTTTCGTGAAGACTTGCTGACCGTCCAGGCTGTACCGAGATCAAAGTGGGTACATACCGGCACGTTGCTCCTCTCCACGCTCATCTTCCCGCAGAAACAACGTCGTACTGGAGCTTCGCGTGGGGCGGCGCGGTCATCAACGGATCGATGTGGGTACACCGCTCCATGGGTCAATGCTGACGCCTCAGTGTCCCCCCTTCCGACCCGAATGGGGGTGAGTGCGACCAGAGACGGTCAGAGCTCCGACGCCATCCGCTCACCCGCCGTAGAGACCTGGGCTCGCAGATCGCAAAGTTCGAGAGGGCGTGGCCGGCAGGCCCGACCTCTGAGCACCCCACATGGAAAGGCAACGACACGCTGGTGACGCTGCTGATTGGGCAGAACGACATTGTGCGTGTGGCCAGACCCTCCCTGCTTGTGCCTCGCTGACATTCCCAGAAAGCACTCGCCGTGAGCCTACATGCGCCACCTGACCCCACCCCCCGCTAATCAACCAGCGCGACTTTCCCCGAGATCAACACGAATCCCTCATCCGCCAACTCGTCGGCTCCATGACCAACACCCTGCGCCACCTGCACTCCCTCGGCGTCCGATCCTTCCTCGTCATGACCTCCCCGCCCATCGAGCTCAACCCGGAAGCCCACCTCCCGGGCCACGGAGGTTATCACGACCGGCACATGACCGCGGCCGACGCCATCTACATCAACAAATTGATCCGCGACGCGGCTCTCGAGCTCGAGCGCGAGCTGTCCGACGCCAACGTCATGCTCTTTGACTTTGAGGCGTTCCACCGCCTCTACACCAGCTTCCCTGAGGCCTTCGGTCTCACCGACACGGAGCGGTACAACATGGTCATACACGGCGCCAAGCCGGACATGGGTCAGATGGGCTTTGTGTGGGTTGCCACGAGTCACATGAGATGCGCAGAGGCAGTGCTCACCAACACAGGTACTCGGACTACACGGGGCATACGTCCGCGCAGACCACAAGGTGAGCGCGGCGTTGGGTATATCCGTCTCCGGCTGACCTGGCCAGAATCGTCGCGGCAGCGGTGAACGGCTTCCTGCTTCGCCGTTCGCGCTCGTTCCAGGCGTCCACAGCAAATGTGACGACGTTGGTGGAGGAATAGTAAGTGGCTGGGATGACGCGGATGAGCGACGAGTGTGAGGTTCTTAGGTCTCGGCTATTGCCTCGTTTCAGGTTGTTGGATAACTTGTAGTCACTTGTTCATACATCATGACATTATACATTCGTTTGCTAGCTCCGTGACTGGCCCGGTGCGTCGATGTGTTTGACACCAAGTCCCTCTGTTATCTGTGCAAGGCCAGCCTGGGCCGCAGACGTCGCAGGAAGGTTGGGAGAGGGGTAATGAAACTGACCTCGACAGCTAGAGTATTCGGCATCGGAGTTGAGGCGCGCGCGGCGCCCATTTCACCTCCAAAAACTCGTCTCCAGTACTATCTTCACACACATGAGAAGAAACTTCTCACCCACTCCACATCTGGTGCATGGCATGTTTCCTCTGGCCCATGAAGCTTCATATGCGCGCTGCCTACTGTGCATACGTGATCCAGTATTCATATACAATGTTCATCGTGACGTCGAAGTGTGGCGAAGGCTTTGTGGCGGCAATGTGGCACCCCCTTCCCACCGTACGTCAACATTCTGCCGCCGGTTGTGGGCTTTCCTGCACATGTTCGCCATCGCTTGCCGCACATAAGGACTTCTCTGGGACTCCAAGAGCCTCCGAGAAGGGCAGCGAACACAACATAGACCACCTCAAAGCTTTCAGAAGTAGCACTTTTCACTAAACTCAAATTTCCCCGCCAAATGTTTGCAATTGATGTTTCTTCTGTTTTTACAGCCTTCAGAGTACTCATCTTAGCTCAGATGGAAGAGCGAGGGACTGTAATTGGTTCCGTTAGGTGTCTACCTTCATCCCTAGGTCGTGTGTTCGATTCACACAGATGAGAGAATATCATTTTTTGGCTGGGGAGGGGTATGAGCCGGGTGTTAGGGGTTTCTCACGAAGTGCCACATTGCGCGCTCCTTGTGTGCTTCGCGGAGGTGGAGCGCTCCTATTCTGAGCGAGGGACTTATGGGGAAGCCGGCTGGATACGATTGGCGAGGGTAGATCTGCGAAATCGAGACCAGGTGGGATCAGTCATGCCGGAAGTGCCGTCAAAGTGGCCGCAGCTTTTTGAACTCCGCCCTATCTTTTTCCCTTTGGGCCTTCGGTCCACCCGCCATGGGTTGACGACTCTGATACCAATTGCTGACACTGGGAAAGAAACCCAGGCTGGAGATGAGCAGGGGAGGTCAGGGGAAAGGGGTACGGGGTTCGACGCCAGGAAAACGTCTCCCAGGCCTGCAAGCTTGGTTCACTCCCGTCCCATGCCACCCTTCCGAGTTGTCTTCAACTTCATTGGGCGTCATCACTCAGCTTGCGGGCACGCATCATCATATTCCACTCAGTGAAGCAATAAGTTGATGTGTCACCAGTGAAGCGCAGGCCAACTACGCCTTGCACCTCGTGCTTCATCCAACAAGTGCCACAAACCGATCCGCCACCATTTGCGCCAAAATTCCGGAAACATGAATGGAGCTCTCAAACAGGTGCAACGAATTCCCATGCTTGCGCTACCAACTGCTGAGCGCCGCGAGCGAGTGATAGCCAAGCTCTGCAGGAGTCACTTCCCTTCGATCTCCTCACCACACCACCCATCCCGCCCCCTCTCTCGATCTCCTCACCCTCCTCCCGCTGGTACTCCTTTACACGAGCACCGAGTGATTAGTCCACAGTTGCCACCTCGGTGCTGCTGTGTTCATCATCATGGAATACATGATATGCTTGTATCTACCATCGAAGTCTCAAGTGACTGCTTGAGGGTGCTGGATAAATCAAGACAGAGTGACCAGCACCACTATCAGAAACATGACCGTTGCAACTCCGGGCAACGCGAGGGGAGAGATCGTTTTCAAAACCGGGAAGTACAGATACTGGGAGTCCAGCGTATGCGGGGAAGGAGAGGTATGCGTCGTGGCGAGTCGACCGGTGCAGTATGCCCAAACGAATGCTAACGTGAGAGCCATGAGAGAGCCAATCACGTACGGGTGAAGCCTCCAAATCAAGTCCTCTGCACGGTACAGCAATGGTCGGGGATGTGGGATGTCTAGAGCGGACTTGGGTGAGGGTGGCTTCCCGGCGTAGGACTCGGGAAGGGGTATGGCTAGGTCGGACAGTATCGCTTCGGTGCACAGTCGAGAGCCGGCTATCGCGATGGGCACTCCAGTACCTGGATGAGCGGATGCGCCGACAAAGTACGCCCCCCTGACGGTGGGATGGCGGGACTGCTGCCGAAAGGCGAGGACGTTGAAGAAGTCGTGGGTGATGCCGAGGATGGAGCCGTGGGTGAGGTTAAACTTGTCCTTCCCTGGCAGGGCTCAGCGGATCCGGGCGGGATGGGGCACTAGGGTGCTCACAGGTCTCTGGCGTGTTCACCCCCTCCCAAGCAATCATGTCTCGCAGGCCCTTGATTCCCAATCGAGTCTGCATCGTCTCGATCACCTGATGACGAGCCCGCTCCACCAACGCATCCCAGTCCTGGCTGTCGCCATCGGGTGTCGCCGCTCCATTGGTGAAAGTGCGGATCTTGCCCTGGTCGGGTAAGAGATGGCCCACTGGAACCAAGACGACGATCGAGTCCTTGTCCTGCGGAGCGGCAGACGGATCACTGCCCTCTCAGCTGGGTGCTGGGCGGGAAAGATGGCACTGGATCACTCACATCCTGGATGGCACGTTCACGTAGAAGCTCGGTTCCCTCGGCATGCTCTTGCGCTTGAAGATGTCGTCGAACGATTCTTTGTAATCCTCTGCCTGGAAGTGTCAGTCCAAGCCCCTTGACTCAGCCCAAGCTGATTTCAAGCGCGCAGGACTCACGAGGAAGATGTTGTGCGCGTTGAGCGATGGGATCTGCCGGTCCATGGCCCAGTAGAACGAGATGGACGAGCAGCTGTGCGGTTTCTCGAGGAGGCGTCTCGCGAGTTTCGGATTCAGCAGTTCCTTTGGTTCCATTCGGCCCTTGCCCTCGCCCTTGCCCGCACCATTGTCCATCTCCCTCGCCCCCTCGCCATCCTTCACAAAGAGGTTGTTGTGCGCCCATACCAGATCCGCATTCACCACCACGACGTCTGCCTCCCTCGTCTCCCCATCCGCCAGTGTGATGCCCGTTGCCCTGCCCGAGCTATCGTAGTTGACCGAGGCGACAGGGGAGGATAAGTGGAATGTCGCGCCGCGGGACTGTGCGATGTTCACGAGGGACTGAACGACCTGGTGGAAGCCGCCCTTGGGGTACCACTGAGGGTTATCAGCAAACCGGATCGGGGTCGGTACGCGCAACACGCCGTGATCTGCTCCGGCATAGACTCACGATCCCCTCGCAGGTCTCCGTCCACTGCAAGAGCGAGTATGTACCAGGTGAGTCGAAGGGCGAGCTCCCGAGGTACATGCTGCCAAAGCTGAACGCTCTCCGCATCCTGTCCGTTTTGAAGTACCGAGCACACCGTCCCCAAAGCGAACCGAACGGGTGGAGGGCGATGACGTTGAGGAGGAACGACGGGCGGAGGAGGGACAGGAGTGATGGGAATGTCTTGGACAGGACGAGGTCGTAGGAGAGACCGCAGTGGACGGCTGCTTCCCTGGGATCGTCAGTGTCGCGGCGAAGAAGGACAAGAGGCCGAGCCTAAAGACTCGGATCACCACTCACTCCAGGAAGCCCTCTAATCGTCTCGCTCCGCCTGGTCCATCCCACTTTTCCACCTCTGCTCCCAGCTGCGCCCGATCCGACGACAACACGACCTGCTCTCCGTCATGGTAGTGTATCACATAGTTCGGGTGACACTGTATGAGCTCGAGATGGTCCTCGAGAGTCGTACCGAGGTCGTGATATAGCTTGTGGAAGAGCGGGGGGAGGAGCAGTAATGATGGGCCCTATGCGGTGGTCAGAGTTGATCGAGTCGAGGCCACCGCTGCAGGGTCATCTGCAGCTGAGAGGGATGCGCTCGGTCATAGCTGAGTGAAGGCTGCCGCCACTCACCTGATCAAACCGGTACCCCTCATGGTGGATGAGACTACATCTCCCTCCTGAGAAGTCGTTCTTCTCGTACACCTCGACGTCGAAACCGGCGTGCGCGAGCCTCGCCGCGGTAGATGTACCGCCTACTCCTGCACCGACTACAATGGCTCTCAGCCGCTTCTTCCCGCTGTCAGTCATCGAACGGGGCGGGTTCGGAGGCAATAGGCATGCATGAGATGGATGTCGTTTGGAAAGCAACAGTCAATTGATGGGTGAGAGTGGTCGATCGGGCTGGGCTGGAGGAACGGGATCGATCGACGTCAGTGGCGGAATCAGGCGCGTCGCGGACCTAGGTGGCGGATAATGTACGTGCATGAGAATGGTATGGCAGAGTTTGGACAGAGGGCCAGAGATGTGCCCGATGACCCCTCCTTTACACACCGCAGGCAGGGCAAAAGACCGCCTCCTTGCTCGTCGAGACCTTGATTAGCCCCGTCCAGAATTCCTTCGACGCGGAGGTCCCACTGTGTCTCTTCCAGCACCTAAGCGCGATGTACTTCTCGAAAAGTCGAGCCAGCCTTCTCTCTGCCTCCTCCGCGTCCGTTCCAAGGTCGAATGGTTTCCGTCTGTCCCATTCAAGCCAATTGTCGTCCAAACCCTCACTGTGCATCCCCTGACTCTCCAACTCCAAGCATATATCGTCCAGCTTTTCTGGCGACTTCGTCACGCAATCGAGGACTTGATGGTTGACCAGACCGTGAATGTCGATCGTGGTCTGCTTGTCCATGTCGTGATGAGGGTGTTCAGGAAACGGTCCCTGTCTTGATCGCGCCCAATGAGGAATGGATCCAACGATACTGGGCCACACCCAGTCGACGAGCAAGTCAGGGTCGATAGGGCGACTCTCCGGGTCATCCAACCACATCTTGAAGTCGACGAAAACCATGTTCCTCGCTCCCCACATCACATCGAAGTCGAAATTCAAGTCCGAATGAATGATATATGCCTCTGGTAGTACTCGATCTCGCCAGTCTTTCGCCCGGACCGGCAGGCATTGGAAGATCTCGTTTGATGACCACGTCGCGCATATGAATCGAGGTTTCAGCTGCCGCATAATCAACGGGCCTAGGAGCACGGGTGTTGAGTGGCCGGCGGGGAGCCAATTGCGATCTTCATCGTAGTCATCCGGGGCGGAAAGTGCCACGCCCTCAAGCAGAGGGAGTGCCTCCGAGATTCCCAGGCATAGCACGTCGAGGGCCGAATCCATCGCGTCCTGCCGCCGAAGCATCTCCACCTCGATCGCCGCCCAACGCTCCCTTGAATCCGGTAGAGAGTCCAACGGATCTTTCCAAACATTGTTAACCACTAAGCGTAGGCGCCTAGTATAAGAAAGAAGAAAGAGCTTTGGGTTGCTCATGTTGATAAGCTTGAGGAACGACGAATCTTCGATCGAATCGCTCGGCGGAGGGGGATTATCCTACCCAAGCAAGAATTTGCCGAGGTCCTCGACTTCGGGAGCCGAGTACAGCAGCGGAGCGGCAATCACATACCATTGCTGCATTGGGTGGTCAGCTCTGAACACAGTGGTCGTTGATCGGGTGAATGTGCAGAGGGGAGCTTCACAACGGGAACGTGGTACGACCATGCTCTGAGCATCGCCGTCGCCTTCAGTAGTCGCTGGCTGACGTTCCACATGGTCCGCTGCCCTCCCTCGTTCTCTGCTCACACTTGTCTCAACTCTCCCCTCAACCCTCCCCCCGTCTTCCCCCCCTCCTTCTCGGTTGCGTGCTTCCCCCTCGCCCAAGACCACTTCCCACTCCACTCACCGGACACACCCGAAGAACAGGGGTGAGGTCAGGCATCCGCAAGGGGTCGGTGTAGTCGGGTTTCAAGCGCCT